CTAACCAGGTGACACATCTTTTCTCCCCCTTTCCGTGAATTGGCCAACGTTCTATATACCAAGTCACGTGATCGGATGAGTCATCCCTTCGTCGGACCGAAGGTCATGTGTCACGTGCCTAGGTCTAGGCTAAGTCTAGAACTTAGTCACGTGATGTTCCATCTGGGCCCTTCTGGACCCTGGTCTGGGGCGGTCTACACCGTGCCCGGACTCGGAGTCGCTCTCCGAATGACATCATGATCGCGTCATGGGCTGACGCATCCGATTACTGAGCACGCTTCGTCATGATGACGTGCTACCCGCGCATGAATCAGCATGGTCCGTGCGCGGGTTCCCTTCTGTATATATATCGCTGGCCAGGACTGATGAGTTCCCCAACGAAACACCCTGCACTGTCCCCCAGTGCGCTTGTTTCCTTGGCCAACACCACCCTCACCACTCTGCATATCCCCTCCCTTGCAAGGAGTCTACTACCTAACCTAACCTAACCTAACCTAACCTAACCTAACCTAACCTAACCTAACCTAAGATCGAGTGATGAAGAAGAGAGGTACAAAACCAGCTAGACATACCATTCGATTCAAGTAAAGGCCTCTAGTGCGTTCAAGGTATTGCATTCGTTATCGAGGTATACACGGTCGAACCTACGCAGCATCGCAAGGCACGCATCCCAATCAACACAACACCCGCACCTCCACCTCCCTATCGCAATAAGAGATACCACTCACCCACAATTCAAACCCCCACCCAACGTATCTGTCACACTCGCCGCCAACGCCACTCCCCACACGACAAAGCGCCACGCTCAATAGAACAGCGACGGGAGATGCAGACGGAGAGAAGCCGAAGAAGATGGTGTAGATGGAGGTACGGGAGTAGAGGCAGTCGTGGTAGTACTTGAGGTTATTTTATATAGCGTGCGAAGATGGAGGCGGAGATGCCGAGCTGATGGGGCGGTCGGTGCGTTGGTGCGCGCGTATGGGGGAGTAAAAGGAAAGGAATAGGTGGGAATGGGTATATACTTCGATTATGGCGACGATAACGATGGCGGCAAACGAGACTGAGGGATAATAGTTGATAGTTAGTTGCACTCGCCCGTAGAAAGGAAATATTACGCAGTAGGATGTCCCATCCGAACATGATCCCCACACCCACCACTTCCAAACAAAGTGGTCGTCCAATTCCTGAATAGCGGTCGTGTTACTTATCCGTCAGTCGTGGATACGTTGAAAGATCCGAGGGTTCCCGTCAACAGAGCACAAAACTGAGCCTCGCTGAGGAGCAGATTAAGGAGGAAAGGGAGAGGTGGGGTACTGCTGCCTCTTCGTCATAACTTATAAGAATGGAGGCAGGCACGAGACAAGAGCGAGAGTGGTGCGCAACGAAGGGGTGAGGAAGTGGACGGTTTGTTGCCGAGTCGCACCACTGATGATGCATGCGATGTGCAGCCTTGTGAGTATTTGGACGCGTAGTGAACGGCTTCATGCGAAGGGGAGGATGCGCGGCTGGATGGACGTAGATGAACCCATCTTGTTCAGCCTCGCCGAATGCGGAGAGGGACGATCAGCGAGATTACTTGTATTGACAGTCGTAAGATAGGACGATTGAATCTCCAATAGCCTCAAGGTCTTCTCAGACGTAGTGGATAACCCAAGGAAGAGCAGCATCGAAAGGCCCGTGAACTTGCGAAGAAAGTTCGGCGGATGTCGACGAGTTTCGGACAGGGGCTCCAACGCCACACGTGGCCCACATCACAAACGATAAAAAGTCAAAAGCATCCCGTCAATTCCACTGCGACTCATTACCCTCGTAGAAATTCAACTTGGTTGGCACACTTATATCGTCGTCTCGTTGAGTTCACACACGCCAGAATGGGCGCTTGTACCGCAGCGATAGCCGCGGAAGACGAACCACATCAACCTCAGACCTTGCAGGCTTGTGCTCCACAGGAAAGTCTCGAAGATCGTGTCCAGGGCAACAAAGCCTCTCAGACACTTCATGGAGGCATGAACATCCCAGTACGCCAAGATTGCATGACAGACAGAAACAGAATCACGCCTTCCTCGCGAAGAGTAGGCACAAACGAGACCGGAATTAGAGGTAGAGCGAAACACGCACCGTAAACTTCACAGCCGTTCCGACCTCACTGCCGCTCCATTCGATGATAGCCCTCAAGTTGTGCAAATACTGCTTTGTGTGCTCTTCGAAGCCTCCGGGGACGAAAGCTGCGGTTATAGGATCGAAGGGTACTCGAAGCTGAGGCGCCCAGAAATGAAGACTTAAGGTGAGGCGCTTAAGGTGAGGCGACGACAGCTTGCGAGTTGGCGCCAATATACACTTGTGCATCTGCATCACGATATATATACGAGAAGTTCTAGTCAGTCACTTGGAATGAAGAATACCACGGGAGAGGGGGCTGGGAGGTGGACTGCCTATGGAAACATTCTGATGATGATTTGGGATTTCTGGCGATATACGGCTATTGAAGGTGCATATTGAGGGGTGCCATATTAGTGAGAGATTATTTGAAGAGGGTGTTTGAAGAGAGACGGACAAGGAGAAGATGGGAGCCGGAAGAGAGCGTCTTGCGCAAGTTGTTTGCAAAGATCTTGACGAGATACTGTACGTCTCTGCAGTTAGGCGACGGCGCGACAGGATCACATGATCCTGGGAAGGAGGGATGGGTGGCGACACCTCCTTGGGGCAAGGGGACACAGGCGACAACTCCTATCAGGGCGCTGCGTAGTCAATTTTGCCTTCACGCACCATCTATCCAATCACTGATAGTCTTTTGGTCTGCTCAATGCTCCGATGATTAGCTCGCGCAACTTTCTCTTCAACCTAATGTTCTGGAACTACTCAAGAACTGCCCTAGATGCCATTGCCTTCGTGTTGGCTTCACCGGTGTCATAGCCATCTGACAGGAACTGGCGACAAGAAGCTTTGTGTATCCAATGACACTGCTACTGCTCATATGGTTACATGCTAACTGGGGCAACATATCTGTTCTATGCTCAGCTGGCAAGCGAGAGG